GCCCCGTCTCTGCCCCCGCAGCCCCCAGCCGACCCCCTCCCACGACCCGCTCTGCGTCACCTTCTGCCCTTCTCCTGGGTGGGAGAGGTGTCCCGCGACAGCGACCTTGACGCCTCCTCTCCTTCCTCCCCTCCTCCCCAGGGCTCCCACCTGGCTGCAGGCTTCCGCAGCGCGCGGCTCACCTCCCTGACACCTGGGCTCTGCGCCTTCTCTGTCCTTCCTGCGGACCCGGGTCGCCGTGGCTTTCCGGCCACCACGCCGCCGCCTCCTCTGACCCCGCTGGCTGCCCCTGGTGCACTGCGTGGCCGGTCCCTGCTCTTCCCTTTCGGCTTCCAAGCGCTCCGCCGTCCAGGTGGGGGACTGCGTTTCTGTTAATCTCCTGGGTGACCTCACCTAGTTTCATGGTTTTAAAACGTCATGTCCATGCTATCGACTCCAAATTTGTCGTCAGCCCAGACATTTCTCTTGAGCTCCCAAATCTCGTACCCACTTGCGACTCAACATCTAGCTGAGTGTTTAACAGGCATCTCCAATATGACACGCTGATATGGGGACCTGACCTAGTGAATGCTGTGGTCCCCTGGCCACCCTGCTTCAGGACAGACCCTCCTCCCTCAAGACCCTCTAGAAGTTTCCTTCAGCTGAAGGAAGCCATCTTGTTGGAGCTGGCATCCTCCTCTGGACAACTCTTGCCCAATGCCTGGTCAATGGGGGCGGGGGTCCCCTGGCTTATGTTCCTCCCTCCAGGCTTATCAGTCCTGTGTTCTGTTATGACGTGTGTACACATTTAGGGCTGGCTACATCTTCTTTAAAATGGACATTTTTATCATTATCAACGCCCTTCTTTGTTCCTGGTTATGTGTCTTACTCTGAAGTGCGCTTGGTTTCTCTCTAGCTAGTTTAGTGATGTGAAACAATGAATTTCACATTTGGCCTCAGTTATCATTTTTTTGCATTTAATTCTCTTCTTTTTCATTCAGGGCCTCTTTGGATATACCTTCTCTATGAAGTTTCTAAAGCAGATTAATTTCCTCTGGTGTACGGAGTGTTCTTGGAATCTCTCTTACCATTTCCGTCCGGCTGTTACCTGGATATCCAATATGATTATTTGTTCAATGTCATTGAAAGCTAATCAGGCATTTCCCCACCAAGAGTGGTAGGTAGTCCAGAATAGAATAATTAGAAGACTGACAGTCCTATGGTATGAGAGACTTTGCAAATATCCTTCTTTGCTGAGTGTTGCAAAAAAAAAAAAAAAACTCGATCCACAAAATACTTATTCACAAAGATTCATGGGAGTCTTATTCGTAATATCACCAAACTGAAAATGACTCAAGTTCCCATCAACAAGATGAACAGAAGGACACATTGTGGCACATTGACATAATGGAATACCAACAACATTAAAAAGTTACCAGTTGTGGACATGCAGAATCTTAAAGACCTTTGGTCAGACTCGGGCGAGTTCTATTTACATGTCCATCTTCACTGGTTGCAAAGACCAAGCAAGTCATAAAGGGCCATGGGGTGAGGGAAGGAGAAGCTATATGAAACCAGCAAGAACGCCCTCTTGGAGGAAGGCACATTTGATATGTGATCTAGAGAATGAGGCAGTCATAGGAAGAGCTGGGGAAAAGACCTCAGGCTAAAGGAGTAACAATCGCAGAGTCCTTGAGGCAGGAGAAGTTTCACTTTGCTGGTGAGAGACCCCTGTGGCTGAAACAGAAGAGCAGAGTAGGGAAGGCCTATGGGAACTGGGGGGAGTAGCAGGAGGTAAGGCCGCAGGGAGGCAGGACAGCTCATGGGTAACGCCACAACCAGGGCCAGGGGGGCACTCCCAAAAAGCCACTCGGTTGGAGCTGTTATACTAAAATGTACATTGCATGTTTTTTGAGAAGATAATTCCATTATTTGAAAAGTTTCCTCTTTCTAGTCAATCTTCCCCATCCTCAAACCCAGGCAACGCCTTTCATATTTCTGTCACCATAGACTGGAACACACACACACGGAGGAATCTGGTGCTCTGGACTAGGTGGAACGTGGGTATCTCCAAACACTGATACAGAGTGTTTCTCTCCCTGGTACACACAGCTATATACAAACGTAAGCCCAAAGCCACACCCCAGTGACCGGCTCCTCCAGCCACACCTGCCTCCAGGTACCACTCAGTTAACCCCACCAGGGGACAATTCACTGACTGGGTTAAGGCTCTCACAACCCAGTCATTTCTCTGTGTCCTCTACTCTGTACCATTGGTCTACCAGTCTGTTTTGGTGCCAATACCATGCTGTTTTTGTTACTATTGCTCTGTAGTATAGTTTAAGGTCTGGTGTAGTGATGCCCCCTGCTTCACTCTTCCTGCTAAGGATTGCTGTAGCTATTCTGGGTCTCTTATCTTAGCAGATGAATTTCGTGATTGCTTTTTCTGTTTCTCTGAGGAATGTCACTGGGATTTTGATTGGAATTGCATTAAATCTGTAGAGCGCTTTTGGTAGTATGGTCATTTTGATAATATTAATTCTGCCTATCCTAGAGCGAGGTAGATCTTTCCATCTTCTAAGGCCTTCTTTGATTTCTTTCTTTAGGGTTCTGGAATTTTCATTGTATAGATCTTTCACCTCTTTTGTGAAGTTGATTCCCAAGTATTTTATTTTTTTGAGGCTATTATAAATGGGGTAGTTTTCTTCATTTCCCTCTCAGAGGATTTGTCACTGATATACAGAAATGCCTTTGATTTATGGGTTTTGGTTTTCTATCCTGCCACTTTGCTGAATTCTTACTAGTTCTAGAAGTTTTCTGGTGGAGCTTTTTGGGTCTTCCAAGTATAGAATCACACTTCAGGAAATAGAGCTAATTTAAGTTCTTCTTTTCCTATATGTATCTTTTTAATTTCTTTGCCTGTCTTATTGCTCTTTGTCAGTATTTTATTAAGAAGTTTTGCATCTATGTGCATCAGAAATATTGGCCTGAAGTTCTCTTTGTCTGGTTTTGGTATCAGAGTGATACTAGCTTCATAGAATGAATGTGGAAGGCTCCCTCCTTTTCTATTTCATGGAATAGTCATTTTTTTAATTTACTGCCTATGCTTTTCAGGACTTACCCAAATAACCACTGTCAATGTCTGAAAGAGTTTCTCACACGCTCTTCTCCTGTAGTTTAATAGTGTCAAGCCTTCCATTGATACTTCTGGTCCGTGTTGAGCTGGTTTCTGTGTAGGATGAAGAGCAGTGGGGTCTCAGTCTTCCACCTGGGATAGCCTGTTTCCCCAGCGTCGTTTCCTGAAGGGACTCTTCCTTCTCCGATCTATGTTTTGGCACTGCTGTGAATCAGCGGTCTGTGGACGAGGGGGTTTGTTCTGGGATCTCTGGTATGTTGCAGTGGTCTGTGTTTTAGTGCAGTGTCATGCTGTTTGGGTTATCATAGCTTTGGAGAGTGTGTTCAAGTCAGGGATTGGGATGCTCAGAGCTTTGTTCTTTTTGCTCAAGATTGCTTTGTTTATTCAGGATTTTTTTGTGCTTCTATATGTATTTGATGATTTTTTTTTCTAATTCTATGAAGTCATTTGTATTTAAATGGGAATTTTATGGAATCTGCACACCACTTTGGGAAGTATGGACATTTTAACAATGTAATTGTTCCAGTCCACGAATACGAGCATTCATTCACTCATTCATTCTGCTTTTTGTGTGCGCTTTCTTCCATTTTTTGATCAGTGTTGTACTTTTCCCCCATAGAAGTCTTTCTATTCCTGGGTCAAGTTTATTTTCACATATTTTATTTTTATAGTTATTATGAATGGTATTGCTATCATATTTTTTCTCAGCAAGTTCATTATTGCTGTATAAAATGCTGTAGATTTTTGTTTTCTGATTTTGTGTTCTGTAGCCCTACTGAATTTGCTTATCAGGGCTAAGATTCTTTTGGATTTTTAGATTTTTCCAGTTTTTAGTTTTTTTTAGAGTCATATCATCTTCCCGCAGGGATTTTATTTATTCTCTTCTTATTAGTATGCTTTTTATTTCTTTCTCTTATCTAATTTTCCAGCCAAAACTTCTAGTACATGTTGAATAACAGGGGTGAGTAGGCACATTTCATCTGGTTCTAGATCTTGGAGAACATGTTTTTCAATTTCCCTCATTCAGCATCATTTTGGCTACCTGGTAGAAAACTATTTGAGATAACATTGAGTAGAATCAGAAAAACCGAAGGGTGAGCACTGGGGGAATCCCAGTAAGAACTGTTTGTGGGTAGGCCCAGTTTGTGGTGGGTAGATGAGATGATCTTCAGAACTATGGGATTCAGTCACATAGACTTAATGTTAAGTGTGGTTTGGCAATTGGTCAAAGATGAATAGGAGGTCAGATGGAGGGCAGGAAGGATCAATGGTTCTATTTTTAACATGGTAGATATCTGACGCCTATTAGACATCTAAGAGGATGCTGAGTAGGCTCTCCAATCTGTAAGTCTTAAGCTCAAGAGAGACGTGTAGACTAGAAATGTAAAACTGAGAGCTGTCAGCAGGTGGGTCTATAGGAACTGGTAAGGCACTAAGGCCCTCATAAGGGCGAGGTGAGTGGCTGATACTTGACATCCCTCTCTTAGGGGAAGTCCTTCCTCCCCTCCTTCCTTCAAGTTACACAGCTTTATTTAGAAGACAAGGACAATCCACCACCCAGCCCTCCCACTCCAAGGTCCTGGCCACATGGACCTTGAGCTCAGGACAGACGGGCGTCCTGCAGAGGAAAGATGGAGTCTGAGTCCAGAGGCCAGACCATGAGACCAGCCCAGCTTATGCTGTTGGGGCCCGGGTTTTGCCTCCCACAAAGTGCAGTGTGTCACTGGTGAGCTGAGGCCCTTGGAGACTCCGGGTGCTGGGTCTCACCTGCAGTCACGGCCATGATCAAAGCCAGAGGTAATTTCCAACCAATGCCTGGCGCGTGGTAGATTTCTTAGTTTATTAAGTAAATATTTAACCCAGGAAGATGAAAGTCAGGTAGCGATTGGTCTTATGTATGTAGAATGTTCATTGCAGAATAGGTGGACATGCAGCAGATGTTCAAAAATCTCAAGTTAGTGAGGAGATAAAACATTGGAGTGCAAGAGCAGAACTGCCCCCTCGTGGTCGTTATGATGAATGTATCCCCAGGAGAGTCTCCGGTGAATAATCAAGAAGATGAGGCAGAACAATCTCTGTAGGTTGGGTGGTCAGGAAAATCCCGCGATGATAAATTTATTGACATCTGTTTGATTTTTTTATTTCAAATGATGTTGTAAAACAACAACGAGGAGAAAAAAATAAAAAGGAACTATAATGAAAACGTACAGAGAGCACCCCAAGTGAGTTTGAGCGCTGATGGGTTCTGTCACACAAATCTGGTGGCAAATCAGCCTGGACTGTGGAGGTAGGTGTGCAAGGTGCCTTCAGGAAGACCACCTCGCAGGTGGCCCGGCACCTCCCCTGTGGGTTCCGTGGCTGAGAGGGTAAGAATGAATGCACGCGGACCAAGTTCAAGTCTACGGAGTTCCTCCTACTGTGGAGAGCTCATTCCCAACAGCTATGCAAACCCCTCCTCTTAGCATTTCCTTCACTGTGTTACTTAAATTTATTTATGTAAATGTTACTTTATTATCATGAATGTAGACATTTATGAGCAAAAGTCGTGCAAAAAGATGCTTGAATGATTCGTTTAGATGTACTTCATTGTATTCTCATTTTCTTTCCTTCTCTCTCCCGTCCCTTCACTTACTCTTTTTTTGTTTCTCTATTTTGATCCAAACATGTACTTATAGCTTCACAAAATAGAGATCTTACTCTGTAGAGTTTTGTACCTTTTAAAAACTAATATCACAGCACAAACATTTCCCCATAGCTTTTATTATATTGAAATGTATGATTTCCAGTGGCTGTGTAATATTCCATTATGTAGAAATACATGAGAAATGTCTAATTAATCCCATATTGTTGAACGTTAGGTCGTATTCATGTTTCTGCTTTGTAGAACGACTGTGATGGGCGTCTTTGGTATGATTACATACACTACTTCTCTATTTTAGATAAATGCTCCGAATCTGTGTTTTTTGACAGGTTTCTTGAGAATTCTTTTTTGAGGAAACATTTTTCCCTTTGTATAGGCTTTCTCTTTCTTAATGATTCTATATCTCTTTTCAGAATATATAAGTTCTTAGAAATTTCAATCGACCAGTTAGTTTTAGGCCAATTACTTTCGATACGTTATATTTTGGACAGTAAATACCTCCCCCAGCTCACGTGTTGAAGCTTGGTCCCCAGCACTTCTGGGGAGCGGTGGACCCCTTAGGGCTAAGGCCTAGTGGGAGGGAGCAGGCATCGAGGGGTGCCCTTGGGAGGCATCGAGGAGCTCCCCTTCCTCCTTCCTGGTTCCCACCAGGTGAGCAGCCTTGCTGAACCGTGCCCCCTCTGCACCATGAAGTTCTGCCTCATCGCAGCCTGGGAAACAGGTGAAGTGACTGTGGACTGAAACCATGAGCCAAAGTAGATCTTTCTTCCCTTAATTTGATTTTCTCAGGTATTTTGTCACAGTGACAGACAATTGACTAACAGAGAAAACTGGTACCAAGAAGTGGGGATCGTTGCTGTGACTATACCTGATCATGTGGCTTATTAGCCTTTGGAACTGGTTTGCACAGGGGACTTGAAAGGTTTGGGGAAGCAGGAGAGAAAAAAACCTTAGCCTGCCGTAAGTGGAACTTAAGGGGAATGCTGGTGGAGGTCAGAAGACCAGAGTGCAGGTAGGAATTCAGACAGTAAAGGCCATGCTCACGAGGCCTCAGTTGGAAATAAGGACTCTACCGGAGGCAGGGACCATTCGTGTTGCATTCTGGCAAAGAACTTGTATGCATTTTGTCCTTGCCCTGAGGTTTCGAGGAGCTGAGTTTAAAGGGGATGGATTAATTAACCTGGTGGGGAAGATTTCAAAGTGGTACAGAATTCAGGCTGAGACATGAGTGTTGTCGTCTGCCTTTAGATTAACTGTGAGAATGGGGTGCAAAAGAAGAGTGGGAAATTAGAAAAGCTTGCAGTTTTGCCAGAAAAGAAGCTTGGGTGAAATTGCTGGCACGGAGGTACAGTTGTAAAAGAGGTCGGAGCCGTTAGAAAGAGGTCAAGCGCTTGTCCTGAGATGGGAAGAAAGCTGTCTGAGGGCATCTTGGGAATCAGTAAGACTGCCTTCCCCTCCCAGGCTGAAAGTCTGAAAGTGCAAACCTGTCCTTCGAGAAGAGAGAGCCTGGGCGTCCTGCTCTACAGGCCACCCCACGCAGAGGTCACTGCCACCACAGCTCAAGCAGGCCTGGTGACTGTTGCTGCTGTCAGCAGACGGGGACGTTGCTCCTGGTTTTGCAGGCAGGTGGAATGCAGGAGTTGTGGGTCACAGAAGCTTCTACTGAGCTTCCAAAAGGCAGTCTTGGAGGCTAGGAGGTATGTGGCAGGGCCAGAGTCCCTCCAGCAGCCCTCAGAGGGTGACGCGGGAAGCTGTGAGAGCGAATCAGCGCAGGAGGCTGCAGGAGGTCAGAGGTCCGGGAAGGGGGAGTGTCTGCTGAGGACAGGGACAGAGAGTGGTCAGGCGGGCCGCAGCTGTCAAGGTAATGGGGGGCGCTGCCCAAGCCCGTTGGCGCTCCCGTCGTGCCACGGAGTGTCCGGATGCAGGAGTGGAGCTAGAGCGTTCAGCCTGGTCCCTGCTGGGTCTCAGTCTTCTTTGGTCTGACCTTCCTCCCCTCTCCCCGTGCTGCGAGGCTTCCCTCTGCCTGTTCCGTTGTGGTTGGAGGCATACACCTTGTCTGGGTGTGTATGGGGCTCACAGCTAGGAGCTGTCCTTGAGTCTCAGAGGAGACTTTGGACTTGAAATTTTGAACAGTGCTGGAACTGTGCGACTTGGGGACCCCTGGAGATGGACCAGATGCATTTTGCAGTCAGCTGGACATGAGCCTTGGGCTTCAGCAGTGGAATGTTGTATTTTGGATTTTCACCGTCCCTGAAAAGATCATATGTTAAAGGCTTGGTCTTCAGCTGTCGGCACTACTGGGGGGGCGTGGAATTTGGACAGGAGGTGGGGTGTAGTTTGAGGACGTGGATGATTGACAGTGAGTCCTTGCAGAGTGTGTTGGGCTCCCTGCCCCTTATCCATTCTTCCTCTCTCTTCCTCCCTCTCTCTGCTTCCTGGCAATGAAGAAGTAAGCAGATCTGCTCCACCAGGCCTTCCCCACAGTGATGTTCTGCCTGATATAAGTCTCCAGCAAGGAGCCAAGTGCCTATGGACTGGGAAGTTGTCAAATTGTGAACAGAAATAAATCTTTCCTCTTTGAGGTCATTTTCCTCAGGTGTTTTGTCACGGTGATGCAAAGGTGACTAACGGGACGTATTTCCTCATTGATATAAAACTGGTACCAACAAAAATTTTTTTACGCAAGTATTTTATACTTCTCTTGGAACAATCTAGATGATCACCAATTTCCTGCAAGTTTATTCATTTACATCTTGAACTGATATTGGACTCTCCCCCGTATATCTCTTCTAGATTTAGAGCCAATGAGGGGTAACGGGTCAAATGGACTTTGACACCCTAGTAGATTCTTATCTTGGCTTTGCCACTGTGATTCTGGGTGAGAAATCTGTCCTTCGGGGTTCCGTTTATTCATGTGAATGATAAAGATAATCTCTATCACATGATTTTGGAGAATTAGATTATGTATCAGTTCATGTAGACCTCTCTCTCTCTCTCTCTCTCTCTCTCTCTCTCTCTTTTGTGGACTGGGGATTCAACCCAGGGCTTCATGAAGGCTGGTCAAGTACCCACTGAGCCGCACCCCGCCCCACACAGGTCTCTTAAAGCACAAGCCGCCGTCTCTGTGCCACTGCCTCCCAGGGACGTCCTCGCCAGCTCTACTGCTGTCCGCTCCGTCCAGGGGGCCGACTCCTTTCTGCTGGACTGTGGGCCTCCCGTTTCCCTCGAGATGCCCAGGAGTCCGTTCTCCAGCGGCCTTAGCCGTTTTTTACGGATCTCTCCTGGCATTTTGCTCTGGGCCCAGCCTTCCAGGGTATTCACAGAGACGGGAGAAAAGCCACCTTTCCCCTCACTGCAGTGCCGTCCTGTCCTCCCCATCTCACCCGTGCCCCTTCCCACCATTTCCCACACACTGGAAAGGGGACTTCTGGCCAAAACCCTTCAATAGCATCCCACAGTGAGGAGAGTAAAATCCCAGCCCCCAGTGACTTGTGTGTGGCTGATTCTTTGACCTCATTTTGAACACTTTACCTCTTGCTCACTCGTATACAACTGCGCCAACTTACTGCTCTCAAACACATCCAGCACACTAAGCCCACCCATCTGTCCAAATTAGGTAACCAACTCCTATCCAGGTTAACTGAGGCAGTAATGAACAGAAGGAAGACCTGGATCTACGAGGAGAGCACACGGTCTCCCCAGCGAGCCACGCACAGTCAGAGCGACTCTCAACAGGGCCGAGGGTAAATGCCGGGACACTGCCTCGTCCCCTACCTAGAAGGGACCTGGACTCTCCTGAAGGGGGTCAGTACTGGTGGTGTCAGGGTGGAAGCACAGGAAATGAAATGTAACAACTGGTGAGGCCACAAATATTCAACACTCCTCAGCAACAGGAGTTTGCTTCTGCCTCGTTCATTTAGGTAGACGCAACAATAGCCCTCCAAACATGTTCACGTGTGATCCCCAGAACCTGCGAGTGGCAGGAGGTACCTTGAGTGATGAGTCGAGGTTTTGAGATGGAGAGATGGTCCTGGATTGTCTGGGTAGGTCTAACGTAGTCACATGGGGATTTATAACAGGAGGAGAGGTCCTGGATTGTCTGGGTAGGTCTAATGTAGTCACATGGGGATTTATAACAGGAGGAGAGGTCCTGGATTGTCTGGGTAGGTCTA